CAAAATGCACCAAAATCCTTTGAAAATGCACTATCTCAAAATCTGAGCTTAAGATGCAATCCGAGCTGCACGGTGCATCAGATCCAACGGCTAGATTTTATTCACATTTCTCTCCACAAGGTGCATTCTCACGAGAACCAGTCCCTATATATATACATACATATATATATACACACACACACACACACACATATATACACACACACACATACATACACACACACAGATATATATATATATATATATACACACACACACACACACACACACACACACATACACACACACACACATATATATAATATGAACATGAAAGTTAGGTACTCCTTAATAATATGCTCTTTTTCCATCCAAAAAACTTGTACATTTATCTCTAAAAGTTGTACCATGCAAATTACACCCCATTATGCCTTGCCTCTGTCTTGCCAATTCATTATTTTGAAAAAAAAAACTCAATTCGATGTAAATTGATGTCAATATGGATGGCAATGGGTCGGGTTCGGGTTGAATAGTATTATACTCGAACTTGACTTGATTTTTCAAACTAAAACCCGAACCCGACCTGAAACCCAACTTTTAAACCAAAAACCCAACCCCACATGAACCCAATATTCAAACCCAAAACTTGAATCCGAATCTGAATATGTAATTTATCCATTAACTAATTTGATGTAGCCCAAGATTTTAAAAACAAAATCTAAGTTTTTTTGTGTCACTTTTTTTGTATCTCATTTTTTGGTTGAGGAATTATAAAAATAATTATAAAAGACATACTCCCTCCGTCCCATAAAGTGTTACCCATTTTGACTAAAGTTGAAATTAAGGGATGGATAATTTTGTGTTGACTTTCCAAAAATACCCTTGATGTGATTGGTAAAAATAGGATGTGATGTGTAGATTATTAGGAAAAAAGTATGATGTGATAGGTAGGGTTTGAAAAAGTAAGGGGTAAAAGTGGTTTTTTAATAGAAATGGGTAAGGGATTGTGGGACACAATTTTTTTGAAACGTGTAAATCTTTTTGGGACGGAGGGAGTACTTTCTTGGTATGATATCACCATGTCAAGACAAATGCATGGCTAGAAATGCAAACAGGACAATAGACATATCAGAGATGCAAAGAAAGAAGGTCCTTACAAGAATAGGGAACACTCAGAGATGTGATGTAAGGACCAAGAGAGAGTTGCGGTTGCACTAAAGAATTGAAAAAAATTAAAGATAATAAGAGTGGTCATTATATCCATAGATAATGTTTTAGGTTATAAATAATTGGGGTTGGGTCGGGTTCGGGTTTTAGGTGTGGGTTTATAATTTTACCCAACTCGACCCGATGTCGGGTTTGGGTAAAGAATTTAGGTCGGGTTCGGATTATTTTATTCTCGATTCAGGTTGAGATATTTTAGTATTTAGTCAGGTAGATTAAGATCGGGTTCAGGTTGAATTGTCATCCATATATGTCAATAATACGCACTAAATGCTCAAAATAACCCGCGACTTTATTCCGCGAGGTAGATCGTCGCTTGCCGCCTCAACAAAATCAACCACGTTTGATCTCCATCTCCCCGTTTTTCCAAGAATAAATACTGACTATTCCTAATTTACTCTCTAAATATGCTTCGCTGAGATGCTATCATAGGGATTTCTGATATCTGCCTATTGGCTTTAGTTTCCGTTTCAAGAATCAAATTAAGAAATCTCGATTTTAGTCCAACTATATCATACTGATGAGAATATGTGTTACACTTTTCCAATTTCAATATTTGTTTCATTGCGGCTATTTATAATCAATTTAGGACAATACTTCAATCGCAGAGCTGACGGCTGAATGAGATTGAGAATGAAGTGGAACTTATTGACGACAAGACTACTATATATTTAAATGTTCATTAATGCTTTAAGGGCGAAAGAAATCTTCTATAGGTTTGACCACTAGACATCCACAACATATCAGGTTATGATCACCCAATGGAAAAAGTTTTGTGCTATGGAGTATTTCAATTGACTTAAGAGCAAGAGTGAAGGGGCGCCTAGCAAATCGACAGGGAAGAAGGGTGAAAAGGCTCCATTGCAAAGTGAATACATTACATCAGTTCCATACAACTCAAAGCCAAATACAAACTACAAAAAAAACAGTGCTCTAGTATCTTTGCAGACACAACCTCTTTTTTAAATGGTAAACACTTAATAGTAATTAATCAAAGTGCCTGAGCATTTAAGAGCCTGAGCCTGAGCATATGCCTTCGAAGCTAGAAGATGGGCTAACACATTAGAGGAACGGGGAACAAAATAGACCAAACAAGAAATGAAAGCACAAAGTAACAACTTACAATCATTAACAAAATAGCCAAAATAAGACCAGGGAATTGCATATGATCCCACATAAAGACATATATAGAGTAGAGCAATATGAAAAAAGACGCACGAAAGGAATATCCATAGCTTTCAACCAACTCTAAGCTTTTTTGCAAACCATTTTTTTAGCCATCAAAGGCGATGAAGCATTGAAGTGAGGATTGTCAGAGAACCAACTCAACCAAAAGCTCAAACTTGTTGTTGTGGCCTAGAAAATATTTTTATATTTTAACATGTCTCCCTCACGTGCAAGTATAGTCTTTTGGGAAAAAGACTGAAGTAGAAGTAATATTGAAAACATACCAAAGTAAGAGTTCCGTGTTTTGATTCCCGAAATATGAGCGAAATAGGAGTTAATTAAAATTCGTTTACATTACAAATCAGTACTATATAAATTGCCAAAAAAATATAGTAAAATCCGCATATACAGTGTCACATCACCACAATGCAAATTCCTATTTAAGAAGTAAAAACATTATACTCTTATTTTGGTACTTTCTCTATATTTTACTTCTATTTAGAGTAATTTCTTTAGTCTTTTTTGAACCGTGCATGTGAAATCTTAATTTTTATTACAAAACTAGCTGAGTGGCATTAAGTTTCGAATGTGTAACTTCTTAGTCAGTCCATTACTTAGTTCAGAGTTCAGAGGAGAAAGAATTGCGATACTTAGGGCCCGGGCCTGGGAGAATGCTCCCAAACATTAGCCTCCAACTTTAAAGATGCTCATAGATGCGCCACATGAGAGCGAAGGAGCACATGCATATATCAAAAACATAGTTAAGATGTGCAACCACATAGGATTGTTACCAAGAGAAGACCAGTAAACGGACTAATGAAACATCCCACATCGACAATGCAACCTTATATTAGGCTGATATTTAATAATTTGGATATCACAACTCATTAAGTTAACTTTTGGGGTTGAATTGAGCCCAAGTCTATTGTTTCAACAAAATTTACCCACAGATATTGTTTATGGTGTCTCACTTTTCCCTATATCAAAATCAACATATTTGGACAAGTAGATAACAACACATCATTAAGAGTTAAAGCCTTAAAGCACCCACATTGGAAGAACTATTAAGTGGAGGACTACCTTTCACCCACATGGGAAGAACTATTACGAACTACAAAGTTTCGTAAAAAGTGTGTGCTTAGGATTTATTGAGTATTTAGAAATAAAATAAACTTAAAGATATCTACATATTTATTTCCCTGAAAAAGAAAGTGAAAAAATATACAAATTAAGTTTCTAGTTTAAAAAAATAAAAAAATAATTTTGAAACTATTATTCAAGATTAAGTATCCAAGTCCATTTAAAAAAAGCGTTATAAAATTTTTTTCTAGTTTATACGGAAGCACGTACCTTGGAGTAGAAAACAAAACAAAAAATTGGAGTTATTGCGACATGTCAAGCAACTATTGGATTTTTGGCTCCTTTTCTTCTACTTCTACGCGCGGAAAAGCTCCTCTCCTTCTCTCTCTCTTGGAAACTGTGCAGGAGGAGTACTTCTCCATCTCCTCCTCCTTCGGATGTAAGGAGTAGCTTCTACTCCAGGAGAACTCCTTCTCCCCCGTCTTCTTCTCCGCCTGATGCGGATGCTCACGAAACAAAACTGAACCGATATCAAATGGGATGGGATCGGAGACCGTGATACAAATATTTAAAACCGATTATCACGGATCGAATCGTTCAAAGCTATATATGGGGTATCTCAAATATTTATATGTCTACTTCATCTTACCGTATATGGAGTACTTCGTTTTGAATTATGTATTTTTAAAATTCTTTCATCATTATTGTTGTTATTATATTTATTAATTTTTTTTAGAGTTATTAATAGTTTGATATAATAGAAATTGAAAAAAATTACTTTTTAAATTTGGACTCATTTTCTTTTATTCTTTATTTATATGGCCCTTTTAAATTCGAAATCAATACTTCTGATCTATTTAATAAAGTTGTAGTTTTTTTATGCAAAACTCTGCTTTTATTTAATTTCAATATTCTTTGAGTAATGTATGTTCATTTTTTGGCACGGTTTGGACATGGGTGTGGTATTGTAGCGTTCTGTTTCAAATCGGAATGGTTTTGGGGTTCATCCCGTACCAATACTGAACTGTTTAAATAAAAGCGGTATGTGATAAGTTTCGATAGTATCACGGATCGTCACGAACCGAGCCCACCCCTATTATTTTCAAAATATATATTGGTATAGAAATACTTAATAATATTTTTTATTAAAAATTTACATTGAGTATAATAACTTGTACATTTGAATAATACGTTACATTAAATTATAGCTAATACATTAAAAAATTACGTCAAAATTTATACAAAAAAAGACAAAGATAATATTATCTTATCAAATACTCGGTGATGAATAAACACACACACACAACACACACACAAGTAAATAAAACTATCTAATAAGAGTCAATATAATTCATTATTATATGATGGAGAAACTATATTTTAAATTATTATATATATATACTCTAGTCCTCCGTAACCAAAAGCAAAAAGAGTCACTCCCAAATTATTAGCATCGTGTCCACCATCTTGTCATTCCACTCCATATGTCACCAAAAATTAACAAAAACCATTCCAAAATAATTATAGACTCCTATATCTAACTCCAATCTACTTTTCTTTCTCATGAGTTTATTACTCATCATCTCCTAATTATTAATTATTTAACAAATCACCAATAATGGCTAATTTCGTCTTAGCCCTTGTTGTTATGACCACATCGATCCCCATCCTCCTCGTTCTCCCCACCGCGGCCTCCGGCGACCCAACCTTAAATGCCACCCACGCCGCTCGAAACACCAGGTTGGTGATGAACCCGATCGACTCGTGCTGGCGCGCCAAGCCAAACTGGGCGTCCAACCGCCGCGCGCTGGCAGAGTGCGCGGTCGGCTTCGGGAAATACGCCGAGGGCGGAAAGAACGGGCCCACGTACGTCGTCCGGCACGCGTCGGACAACCCGAGGAACCCGAAACCGGGCACGCTCCGGTACGGCGTCATCCAGCAGAAGCCGCTCTGGATAACGTTTGCCAAGGACATGGTGATCAAGCTCAAGAACGACCTCATCATCAACAGCTACAAGACGATAGACGGGAGAGGGGCAAAAGTGGAAATCTCCAACGGGCCATGCATCACAATCCAAGGGGTGACGAATGTGATCGTGCATGGCATAACGGTTCGAGACTGTAAGCCGGGAAAATCGGGGCAGGAAGTTAGGGACAGCCCGACACACGCCGGGCGGCGCGGCGGCTCGGACGGGGACGCGGTTACGATATACGGCTCGTCGAACGTGTGGATAGACCATTGTTACTTTGCACGCGCCGCCGACGGGCTCATCGACGTGATACATGGTTCCACCGACATCACCATTTCGAACAACTATTTTACTCATCACGACAAAGTAATTAATTTAATTATATTTAAATTTACTACTAACAATTATTTACTACTTGGTAATTAATTAGTGTTAAGGCAGGTGATGCTGTTTGGGAACAATGATAACAACATAGAAGACAAATCTATGAGAATTACAGTGGCCTTTAATCATTTTGGCCCTGGTCTTATTGAGAGAATGCCAAGGTATGTTCTTAAATCTTAATCTAAATATGTAAATTTTAATTGCTCCTAGTATTTTTTTCTTAAACTTTATGTTATTTTTCTGTTAATTTAATTATTATGGGTGGGTGCAGGGTGAGGTTGGGGTACGCCCACGTGGCAAACAATAGATACAGTGGGTGGCTGATGTATGCAATTGGTGGAAGTGCAAACCCTATAATTTTTAGTGAGGGCAACTACTTCATGGCTCCCAATAAATCTGATTCTAAGCAAGTAAGTTTAGCATAGAAATATTTACAATAAATAACACTAAAACTTGGGTTATTTTTTAAATAGTACTTAATTTCTTTTATTCCCTAAATAACACTTAATAATGTTTATAATGTCCAGTGATGGCGAATATTTACTTGAATAATAATGATTAATGAATAATGACTAAAGTGCTACATTGAGAAAAAAACACATATTTATAATCATATTTAGGGAAAGTCATTATGTTTTATGGCCACCCTTTTCACAGTCACACACAGACAACAACTGTGCGTGACCATAGAGACATTTCTTGTCTGTGACAAACATGATGTAAAATTAAATCAATGTACAAACGTTTGTATATAGTAGCTTTTTTAAGTTTATATTTATAGTTATATCTCAGCCGAGGCCGTGAAATTTATGTGCATGGTCAAATGAGAGTTGACCAAGTAAAATTGATTATGGATAGGTGACGAAGAGAGAGGTAAAGAAAGGGTGGGGGCATTGGAAATGGAGGTCTTCAAAGGATAAATTTCTAAACGGGGCATATTTTGTGCCGTCCGGATACGGGAGCTGTGCGCCGTACTACACCAGATCTCAGTCGTTTCCGGTGGCCGATGGGTCTATGGTTCCCGCTCTCACGGCGGATGCCGGCCCACTCATCTGCTCCTCCTCCGCCACATGTTAGATGTATCTATATGTGAAAATCAATTGTTGCATGTACTCATGCATCTCATTTTATTTTCTGAATGTGTATTTGTTTTTTTTCTAAGTAATTTGTATTAATAAATTTATTTGCCAGAAATCTTGTACTCCACCAGCATTTTGGTGAGAATGGTGACTCTTCACTTCGAAGCCTAGTGAAAACGGTTAGAATTTTATGAATTTTAATAGGTTGAAAATGTATAAAGAAAATCGTGTTTTAAAAAAAAGCATTTGCAGCTTGATGGGGCGAAGTTCAGCGGTTGACATCGGGAGTACTACAAGGGAGAGATCCCGAATTCTATGTCTGGTGGCTGCGATGAGAGCCAACAATGCAAAGCATAAGAGTTCTGCAAGTATCAAGCACGACACGGAATCTCATCCTTACACCAATTAACTGAAATTGTAGCTCAATTTACCTCCCCTCAGCTAACTGTCCGATCGGTGTTGGAGGACCCTCAAGATTGGAGACATTGGGGTGTCATCCTTGAAAAAAAATCATTTGTTCTCAGCTAGCTTCTTCTCCCCATTAGTCAGTAACCCAGCAACACGGTCTCTTTTTAAATGAAATGAAAGCTTGGGGAGCATAGAATTAAACTTCGACATTCGAAGGTAAATGAATTGCCTGAACTAATATAATTAACACGTATAAAGTCATGTCACTGAATGATTAAGAAAAACATGTAGAGGAGGAGCATCCGGATTTTGGGTTAAGCACTTCGCTGATTCTGTTACTGTACCTTTTAATTTCGTTTAATCTATGATATGATGTTTCCTTAAAGAAAAAAACATTTTATACAAACCACGCAAATCATTCCGATTCTCTATATCTCAAAAATAGGGAGACAACTCTGTTTATGTTGTCAAGTTACTCCCCATATTTTACAGAGAACTCAAGTTAATTTTTCAGATTTTCCAATGAATTGAAGTAAATTGAACAAGTAGCCAAAAAGTTTAAGTTATACTTGAAACTTATTTACGTACACCCTATAGTTTTAAATGGAAATTATATATAAACGAGACTATATTGATTTGAATAAAAGTTTAGAACACAAACAATGGCAAGTCAGATTCAGGAATTACACACGCTGACGTGTAACAATTTAACCAGTCAAACATAGCTTTGTCACAGTGGCATCCCAAAGGAGTGTCATGCATGCATGCCCTACATAGCAAGTTTTAAATTTTTTGAATGTTTACATTTTAATATATTTCGAAGTTTTAACTTTTTTTGAATGTTTATTTCTCCTGGTGTATCCTTTTCCACTCCATTTGCAGTGGTTTGTCTTGCCATTACAAATGCTCTTGTTGAGCTAAAATGAAAATAAACTATGGAGGAGAATCTTAATTTTTTAAAATTAATCTAACATATCTAAATCTAAATTAGTCAACTTGTATGTAAACAAGAACCGGTCGAGTAGTCTGTTATTAGTTATCACGGGGTAAAATGGTTAGTAGATGAACGTTGATTTTTACGGTTAACTTTTAAAGCTGAAGATTGAAAAAAAGGATGAACCACATTCTCTATGGTCTCCTCAGACTTGGCCGGATGGTCACTGAGAGAAGATATATTGGAATTTGATTGCTGATTGCTGGCAAATAGTTGAGCCGGCACTTAGTACTTATAGAGACCCTATGCTTAGAACATAATTACCTTTCAGCGCAGTTATCAGATTCAAGATATTACGGAGTAGTCCTTTTTAAAAAAAAAACATGCCTTTAGCAGGCTACTAAGTACTAGCTTACATACTTAGCTCGTTTTTGTCTCGGATTGGATTACAATTTTTTTGAAATGTTTCTCTCGATAATTTTTAATTGTTTGTGTATTTTTCAATGATGATTTGATAAAATAAAATATTTTTGACATCTCTTATTTCATAGAACATTCGATATTGCTTTTTAATATGTACATTTTTATAATTATTCTTATACTAATTTTTTAATAAATTAATTTTAAAAAATATGGGGTTTTACATTGTAAATAGGAAGATGTAATCCAATTTGAGACGAAGAGAGTATTTGTAACTTTAGAGGTATTAACTTATTTCCGTTTATTACGTACTTACTCGCTTTATCCCAAAATGTTTTAGACTTTGCGCAAAACAAAGTGAATCTTTAAATTTTTTAAATTCATTTTATTTACAAATTGATAAAGAAAATGAAAGTAAAATTTATATATTTAAAAATTATATCAAAAGTTATACAAAACAAGAGGTGATAAAAATATTTTATTTATCAAATAATCAAACAAAATGTACAAATAAATAAAAGTTTTTCCCAAACTCATTTTCAATGGCCCAGCCCACATATCCTTCCGGGTGGTTTTAATGTAAGGCCACAAATATCTAGTCAGTCAAGGTTTTGTGGGCTTCAGATTGCACATGGGCTTCAAAGCCCACATACGCCGCCACCTTCGTTTCGTAGCGCCGCCACTGCTGTGGATGCGAGTTTCACTGCTACCGCCGTTGCCCCGGCCATATCTACCATCATCAGTGGCTCCCAAGGAAACAATGTTTAAAAAAAACTGGAAACAACGTTAATAATAGGAAAATGCTAGGTTGCCACCACATGGGTGCTACTATGGGCGCAAGGCGCACCCATGCTTCGCACAGACAAACACAGACAATAATTATCTGTGTCGCATAGACAATTATCGTCTGTGTTTGTCTGTGCGAAGCATGGGTGCACCCATGGTAGCACCCATGTGGTGGCACTCTAGCATAGTCCTTAATAATAACACTAATGCCATTAGCACTTGCACTGCATGTAGCAACCCTACCAGCAGTGGCATCCACAGACTCTAGCTACTACTCCATGCATCTTTGAGTACTTATCTATTTTTTATTTTTTAAGATCAAAATTAGTAAAATTTTGATCTCAAATTAAATAAAAATGATATTAGATATTGATACAAAATAAGTTTATTAGATTTATTATATCAAATATTTTTAAAATATTACTTTAAACAATGTATATTATATAATTATAGATTATAGATTAAAAACGATTGACCAAAAATGTTAAAATTGAACAAGTAGGCAGGACGAAGATAGTAAAAAAAGATTAACATGTAACATTAAAATTAGAATCATGGTAGGGGTAAGCCAATTTGGTGTACCCCATCTATCTTAATTAACATTAGAGTAAGACACATGTGCACTTTTTCTTGGACCGGATCTTTTTTAAATGAGGCTAGCAAAAATGTTTGAGTACACGAAATTGTACATACTTCGTTTAAAAAAAATCAATCTTCATTAGTCATAAAAGTTTTGTTTATTTATACGATTATTTGATAAAATATGATATTCTTATCGCCTCTTGCTTTAAAAAAAGTGTTTACATAATTTTTAAAAAATTTAAGTTTCATTTTAAATTTCTATATCAATATTTAAATAAAATGATATAAAAAAAACTTGAATTCTCTTTCGCATCAAAAATAAAATAGTAAATTTCATAAAAGGTCTCCAACTATTGTTTATTTACATATTTAGTCCCTACATATCAAATATCAATATTTTAGTCTCCAATTATTATATTGTTTTCCACGAATGGTCCTTTGTTAATATTTCCAGTAAAAATATGGATCTCTCTTCTCAATTAAACTTCTTCTCTCCTCTCGCACTCCGTTCCCAAACCCGTCGCTAAGTTTAAAGCTTTGAACCCAAAAATCGAAATCATCACTCCTCTCCCAATTGTTCGTCTTCTTGATGGAATCCAAATCAAAACTAGAAACCTTCATGAATGAGTAAGGTTCATTTTCTTTATAATTTCCTGAGACTAACTCATAAAACTCACCCATGAAGGTTATTAGTTTCGATTTCGGGTTGAAGAATTGAGAGATGAGTGGTCGTTTCAGTTTTAGGTTTAGAGCTTCAAACTCAGCGACGAGTTTGAGAATGAGTACGAGAGGAGGGAGGAAGCGTAATTAAAGAGAGAGAGGAGTGTGAATATACAATTTTATTCATGTTCTTAACAGAAATGTTAACAAAAGACTATTTGTGGAAAACAATATAATAATTGAGGACTAAATTATTGATATTTGATATATATGGACTAAATATATAAAACGACCTATAACTGAATACTTTTTATGATATTTCTCAAAATAAAATATTATAGGGTATATCTTAATGATGTGATTTTGTCAAGAAACAAAAAGGACATATAAGGTTGGGCGTCCCCAAGAAGCAATTGTTGCGTGCAAAGCGTCAGTTTAGGCAATTTGGTGCACGCAAAAGATTCAGTTACGCCTCCCTCCCGCATTATCCATCCTCTTCGCCGTCATATTTTCTGGGCCCGTCCTTCATCACCGCAGGATCTTAAACCTACGGCCCAGATTCAACCCCTTGTCCTTCTGCGCATGTTTCTTCCTCGCGTTCCCAACGCTAGCATCTCCATACTGTGACCCTCCCCGCTGGCCCCAGTTTTCATCAGATCGGCCACTTCTTCTCTCAATTTTCTCTGCTTTCTTTTTTTTCTTCTTCTCAATTCTTGGGTGTATATATACAGACGAGCCCGTATTGAGGAAGCTCATACTTTCTACAGATTCCTTTTCCGCCATTGTTATCCTGGTTATAGATTTTCTTGTAAGTCTCTGGTTTAGTGTTTCTTTTTGTTTGTAATCTCACTACTCGAATTTTGATAAAGCATTGCGTTTTCTCTCTGGTGGAAGGAAAAAGATCCGATTTTTGAACGTTTAACTGGACAGTTCCGATGTTGCATGCATGCCCACTTTGATTTATTTGCATTTCTTTCAGTAATTGTGTCTGGGTATTGTGAGTTTTACCTGTGTATGTATAGATCAGTCATTCTTTGTTTGTGAAAATGAAACCTTTTTTTGCTCCTGATGTATGTTTTTTCAAGATTGTTCATTTATATATTTGTACTCGTATAGGTTTAAAATGGGGGCGAAAACGTTGCTGGCCACTCTGCTCATTTCTTCCCTTCTGTTCCCCATCATCTTCGCCGCGGCAGATGATGGGTTTATCAGAATTGGGTTGAAAAAGGTGAAAATTGATCGGAACAATCGGGTTGCCTCAAGGCTTGATACGAAAGCCCGAGACTCTGTGAGGGCGTCTGGGAGGAAGTACAACTTACTTGGTAGGCATGGGGATGCAGGTGACACTGACATTGTAGCACTGAAGAATTACATGGATGCTCAATACTTTGGTGAGATTGGTGTTGGAACTCCTCCTCAAAAGTTTACTGTTATCTTTGACACCGGAAGCTCTAACTTATGGGTTCCCTCATCCAAGTGTTATCTCTCGGTAAGCATCTTATCAACCCCATACCCCTCCATTAGTTAAGTACAGATCCGGTATTAAACGATCAATATATATGGCTCAGTGACTCTGTGAGCCTGTGAGCCGGTGACATTGTCAAAAATGTGTTAATAGGATAAAAGAATAGGCTATTGACTTAACTTATGCTTCTTTCTGTACCTAGGTGGCCTGTTTCTTACATTCAAAGTACGCATCTAGCCAATCCAGTACTTACAAGAGCAATGGTTTGTGTTTGTGACCCACTTAGTAGTTTGCTTAGGGTGTGCTTTGGATGGGGAGCCTTTGGGAGGGCTAGCTTGATCTATGAAATATTTCAAGGCTCTCACAAATTATGTTAATCTTTTAATTTGTTTAAGATATCAAAAGTTCTCCCAAGCACACCATCAGATAAGCAGTATAAGTGATTGTCATGATCTTGTTATGAATTGCCAACCCTTTCATAGGGAAACATGCCGAAATTCATTATGGAACTGGGGAGATAGCTGGCTTCTTCAGCCAAGACGACATCAAAGTTGGCGATCTTGTTGTAAAAAATCAGGTGAGATTAGGCGTCTGTTAGCTTTACCTCATCTCTATGATGTTTTGTGACTTTGGAGTTTCAAATCTCACACTATGAACAATTACAGGAATTCATTGAGGCAACAAGTGAGCCGGGCGTGACATTTTTAGTCGCCAAGTTTGATGGAATCTTGGGTCTTGGCTTCCAAGAGATCTCAGTCGGAGATTCTGTTCCAGTTTGGTATGACCCAGACTTAATTTTACCCCGCGCCCGCCACTCGGATTTGCATTTGAAAAGAAACTATTTGAACTTGCAGGTACAACATGGTGAACCAAGGTTTAGTCAAGGACCCGGTCTTCTCATTTTGGCTAAACCGGAAGGTAAAAGAAGAAGAAGGTGGAGAAATTGTGTTTGGTGGCGCTGACCCAAAACACTATAAAGGGGAACACACATATGTTCCCGTGTCAAAGAAAGGTTATTGGCAGTTTGAGATGGGTGATGTTTTAATCGGCGGTAAACCTACTGGTATATGCTCTACTCTATTCTTTTTCTTCCACGCTTGTCACATATCCGTAAATCCAGTCATTATGGTTACTATCATGTCATCCTTAGGGTACTGTGGCAGTGGTTGTTCTGCCATTGCAGACTCTGGAACTTCTTTGTTAGCTGGTCCAACGGTATGTTTTGTGGGACGCGTATATTATTTGGCTTTGAAGAGTATATATAAGCGCAACTTATTCATGTGAAATGTGCAGTCTATTATAACGATGATCAATCATGCCATTGGGGCTGATGGAGTAGTCAGCAAAGAATGCAAAGCTGTGGTTGAAAATTATGGACAAAGAATCATTGATTTGCTAGTGGCGGAGGTAAATACATTCACCCCCCTTTAAGGTGGTTAAAAAAACAAGATCGTGTGGTAAAAGTGTTTAACTGGTTGATGTTTTTCGCAGGCACGGCCAAAGAAGATATGCTCCCAAGTTGGGCTGTGTACCTTTGATGGAAATCGTGGCGTCAGGTTGGGTTTCATTCCCATCCTATGTGTTTGTTTTTGTTGTTTGGTTCATATATATGTACTTATTGGACAATCTTTTTTTATGAGGGTAGTATGGGAATTGAGAGCGTGGTGGACGAGAAAGACGGGATATCGGTCGGATTACATGATGCAATGTGCTCTGCTTGTGAAATGGCTGTTGTTTGGATGCAGAACCAGCTGAGTCAAAACCAGACTCAAAACAACATTCTCTCGTACGCCAGCGAGGTAAAAACAAAACCATTGAAGACAAGTAATTAAAGTTTCTAACTTTGCAGTGTATTTACTCCACAATTCTATATATCTATATATAAATACATACAGCTTTGTGAGCGGCTGCCAAGTCCGATGGGAGAATCGGGCGTGGACTGTGGGAAGCTTTCCTCCATGCCTACCATTTCCTTCTCCATTGGTGGAAAGGTCTTTGATCTCTCCGCTGAGGAGGTGAGTTTTTTTTGTGTGTTTTTAGATGCATTTTCTTGATGTTTTGTATATAATCCATGAATTCGAACCAATAAAAGGCTGAATTGTGTTTGGTCTTATGATATATATATGTGAGCAGTACATATTGAAGTTGGGAGAGGGCTCTGCAGCACAATGCATCAGTGGGTTTACTGCATTGGATGTTCCCCCTCCCCGTGGACCTCTCTGGTACGTTGTTATCTTTGTCCCCGATTTTCGTTTTTCTTTTTTTGAATCATGAAGTTTCGCTGTTGATGGTTGTTTACATGGTGTGTAGGATATTGGGAGACGTTTTCATGGGCCGATACCACACGATTTTCGACTATGGAAAGGCGCGCGTTGGATTTGCTGAGGCAGCTTAGTTATGGTGGTTTGGATTCTGGTTCTAAACCCTGCTTGTAAATATATTGCCTCCTTTCCCCTACAATGTATAATCCCAACAAATATTTCATCCTTTGTTCAATGGGTATATATATATATATTTATGTACTTTAAAAAACAAAATCCAATCAATGTCTTGTTTCTTCCTCAGCTCTGTTTTAGATTCCTCCATTTATGAGTTTGCTCCATATAATTAGTTCAATTGATTTTTCTGGTACATTTATATATTTATATGGTGAAAGCATGTTACAATTACTATAACTTATAACAGCAATACAACATTAGAAGAGCATGGATTATATGTTTCTTTTCAGTATAATATTTGTGATATGATCATGGAATTAAATTTGAAAGGGAACTGCATTCATAGTCTACAGACCGTCGCCGATAATTCCCGCAGGTGGCACCTTACCGTCGGTGTCTCCGCTAGGACTGCTGTCGCCTGCGGTGGGGCCGCCTCCTAGGCCAGCTTCGAGTCTAGTGCCAAAGGGGCCACCCGTGGCCCCTACACCTCCGAACTGCGCGGAAGAGCCTCCAGCAAACCCGCCGAAGTTCGGCCCAATCCCGGCATTGCCTCCTCCGGCTCCGAAGCCGGAGGAGCCGCTGCCCGGAAGTCCTCCGACCGTGGACCCAAACCCACTTCCGGCCCCACCGAAACCCGACTGACCACCTCCAAACCCGCCAAAGCTTGACCCGAAACCATTCCCGACACCGGGCTCGAACCCCGACGCACCGCCGCTGCCAAGGTCCGGGGTCGGAAAGCCTCCTCCCCCTCCACCCAAACCACCCCCGAAACCGGCGCCTCCGCCGAAACCCGGCCCTCCGCCAAAACCAGCTCCTCCTCCGCCTGCTCCTCCCACACCTCCGCCGTAGTAGGGGGGAAACCCGTACTTATAGTGGAAGAAGGTTTTCTGGTCCTCATAGTCATTGACTCCTTTCTTCTCATAAAGCCCGGCACCACCGCCGAGACTCCGACCAGCATTCGCGCCAAAGACAAAAGCTCCGGCAGTTAATAAGATGAAGACAACCTTTGAAGCCATTTCAAGCAGTTTAGTTTTTGATGGATCCGAGAATATGTATTATTGTGTGCATACTTAGCAGATGTTTATATATAGGTGAAATGGTTTGGGTAATTGAAAATAAGATGGGTGAAGGTGAAAGGTAGGAACATATTATTATTAGAAAAATGGTTGCATTGCATGCAAACCATAATCAATCCGAACAGAAAGTAATAGAAACATGCATCTCCATTTCGTGACTAACCTAATTTTACATTTACTCTTGGAATATACTTTCTTAGTCAAGGAGAGAAATTTACCAATTTCTTATGAATAAACAAAATAAAACTAAAATGTTAATTTTATGAATGTTTACATTTTAGAGTGTTTTATGACATTATATATTACTCCCTCCGTCCCCCATAGATCTTTCCAATAGCCCTTTTTCTTTGTCCACAATAGATCTTCTCATTTCATTTTTTAACAATTAAAATACCACAACTACACCCACTTACTTTATTTATTACATCTCACCCACCTCATTTAATACACTCCACCCAATTTCATTAAGGGTATTATGGTAAATTTTTACCTTTTTTCAACTCTCCTTAAAACCCACCAAAAGTCAAAATGAGAACATCTTAGGTAGACGGAGGGAGTAATACTCATTACCATCATAAGCGCCTTATTTTAAAAATTACTCCGTAATTTTTGGTTTATGAAATATTCCATCCATTCATAAATGATTTTTCTGTAAAAACTTCGTCATCAGCTGCTTATAAGTTACGCCCCGAACCCGACCAATGGTGCAACATCTAAGTGAAATCCTCAAATAGGCCTGATTATATTACATGTCGAAATAATAATATTGATTATCCGACGACATGCATAAATTAGAAAGATTAAACTAGCTAGCTATATTTATGTACAATTAAGATTAATGGTAGGATTAATAATTAAACAAGGGTAAGGCTAAGAGAGACATCATAATCGTTAATGTCAATATCCATGGTGGTCAATGAAGATGGCTCCGATGAGCTTTTCGACGACCCATACCCTGTCGACTTCGCGCCGCCGCTCCTCTCACCGACCAACGATGAACCTCCTCCCCCAACCTTATTTCTCACCTGCATGTTCTAATTAACCATGTTGGAGTTCCCATATCGAAAAATACCACTAGCATATATAGAATGGTGAAGTTCTGTTTATCAGCTTAAGTCTTTGTATGTAAATCTTTAATTTTACCCGATACTCTATCCGTTGTTCTCAGTCCACCGGAATTCTAACAAACCATTTTTTATATGGTGATAGTTTAGACTTCAAATTAGGACTTTGTTCAAAACTGTGAAATTTACCCGCTGTATTTTTTCATTGCTGTCAGCATTGCACGGGACGAACAAGTCAGGGAAGAAGATGGTTCTTGGCTCTGAGCGGTGCGTATAATCCATTCTCCTGCTATTGCATTAATCAAAAGAAATATTTGTTAATACTAATTTAATTAAAAGTACGAAGTAATTAATTAAACAACCTAATTAAATTTCAATGAATAAATAAATTAAAGAGTAAAATTTCTAAAAGGTCCTTTCTAATAAGGTGTTTTTCCAAATTAGTACTTAATAAATAATAAAGTGATCCTTTATAATTTAGATTTATTTTCAAAATGGTCCTCCGTCGAAAATGTTTATTAAATATCAGTTAAATAGAAGGTATTTTAATATTTTCTATCATCTAGATTTAAAGTATGTTCTCAAATATTTCTTTATAATTAAGTATTTTTCAAACTCATAATTTCTAAGCAAGCGTTATCTCAAGATGAAGTCCATGAGCCAACTGAGGGTGGGTTCTTTCTCTGGCAGCCACTCACTTAATTGGAAAAAACCATTTTGAAGACTTATTCATAGTTTAAATAATGATAAATAGCAAAATACCATTTATTTAACTCTCACTCAATAAACATTCTTGACATAAAACTATTTAAAAAATATATCTCAATTACAAAGGGTGGCGTTGGAAATGATTACTTATTAAGAACTTTATTATAAAGTACTATATTGGAAATAAGTGAAATTAAACAAACCTCATGCACGGTGGAATGCTAGGGGGCATCGGGCCGAGTGGGTCGATAAAGTAACGGGCCGGAGGTGGCCGTGATATATTATAGTATCCATGGGCCAGGCGCTCCTTGTACACCTGTCGGCCAGCGGCCCATGATCCAACATTGTTTTGTTTACGCACTTGCAATGTTCCACCTGTAAATTTCCACGAAAACAATAATAAAGTAGTGTTTGACAATTGGCATTTTATTTCAATTCTAAAATTTGAAATTTTGAATTTCAAATGACAAGGGATATGCATGGATTTCAAATTAAGCTTTGTTATGAATGTGAAAAATTTGACCCAAATGTAAATTCAAGTTTTTTAAGTTTCCCAAACATGTAATTTGAGTCAAATCTAGATTTGAAATCCAAATTCATGTTCCCAAATTTATGTTTGGAGAGATAATTAAAAAATGTCCATTCTTTTATTTTCTAAAAGAGAAAGAGGAAAAAGTATGAATTTATTTTTAGATATCCAAAAAAAGTGTAAATTTTACTCAAAGAGGAAAAAGTATGATTGAAAAAAATATTTAATATAGTGTTTAAATATACAAATATAATTTTAAAATTTTACACTAATAAGCTGACAATTTAAGAACTTTTAAGGTAACCATGGACCGTTTTAAAAAGTACAGTATATGACTAGAGAAACATTTTGAAATAACGTTCGGGGGAAAATACATACATCTTATAAAAAGTATATGCACAAATAATAATGCACTTTTCAAAATTCAGGAGAAAACATGTATTCTATTTTTTAAAGAACTCGTGGATGGGAAGATTACATACATACGCTCTTAAAAGTATAAAGATTAATGATATATTTTTGAAAGTCTAAAAGAAAAAATGTACTTTACAAAGAGTTCATGGGTAATTATAATAAAAAACTCTTAGGGTCCGTTTGGTACACGAAATTGACGAAATTAAAATTGAATTGGAAATTAAATTTCTGTGGAATTAATTTGGATGAAATTGAATTCTCCAATTCCAATTCATTTTTGGCACTACCAATTACAAATCTACATATTTTTGTGCTACCAAATAGCAGAATTGAGATTGTTTTTCTCAATTGTAATTTCATAGTTCGAATTTCGTGTACCAAACAGAGCCTTACATATATATATTTGTGTCTTGCATTAGATTATTAATAGCCATAAACCAGTTAATTAGCTAACTAGCAAGATCTTGTGCGTGGGACAAAGTGCGATTCGAAGAGATTTATGGTCTTAATGGGAAACTAACTATATGTACATTATTCGAATAAGTATTTTCAGAGAAAATTAATAAAATATTCGACCGTTACATCTTTTTTGCGGTACAAAAAAATATATAAATATTCAGCCGTTACGTGATTTAATTTCGTCGAAAAAGGACAAAGAAAACCATCAAAACTTGGTTGCATATACCTGCTTGAATAATTCTTTCTTGCTTATGGCTTCTGTGCATCTGTTCACACAATTAATAATAAAATATTTGTGGTTTGATAGAATTAAATTCAATAAAGTAAATAAATATTTGTAGGCGATTTCTTAAATTTTTTTTAAAAAATGAATAATATTTTAAATAAATGAACCTGGAGATGACTTTTCACGTGAGATAGGGTTAACTCCTTGGTGCCCATCACTTGTAACACAGATTTTGGGGTTGCACCTACATTGGTTGTCAAGTCAAATGCATGTCAACCCATGATATATTTATTTAAAACAAACCCAAATAAATTCAATTATTTATTTGCGATAATTACCAAAACAGTGATGAACTTAAAACAAACACGCCTCAAATATTTAATAAACTGCTTTTGTTTATTTAATTTTATATATTACGTCATCTTAATTAATTAATGTCTACGGTTGCGCAGAAATTACCAAACAATTCTCCCTCCGTCTCATAAAACGCCTTATGGTACGGAGTTTTTTTTACAAAATTTTGAAAAATTCTTAATATAAAAAAGGTAAAAAAAAATGCATGCTTAAATTTGATTTTATATTAATTAATAAAATTACTCGGCGTGATCGAACTACATTTTATCAAATTAAATTTTTTTTCCCTAATTTGATTTTCTTGATCAAATTTTTTAAACTTTGACTATAATTATAACAAAAATCGATCTATTGACTTGTCATAAATATTTATTGCTAATAGATTTTTTTGGAAATTATAAACTATTCCCTCCGTTCCTAAATAAACTTCCATTTTTGACTTTTTGAGAATTTAAGAGAGGGATATTTTTGTATTGACTTTCCAAAAATACCCTTGATGTGATGTGTAAAGGTAAGATATATGTGATATGTAGATTATTAGTAAAAAGATATGATGTGATAGATAGGGTATGAAAAAAGTAAGAGGTAAAAAAGGTGTTTTAAGGAAAAAGAGAAGTTTATTTGGGGACAAAGAAAAAACGAAAGGGAAAATTTATTTAGAGACAGAGGGAGTACAAAAAAAATGCATTTACTTGTCATTTAAATTTAATATAAACATATTCATTTCAAAAAAATATAATTTTGAAGTATTATATTTTCATGATATATATCTATATATAAAAAAAATTGATGATTAGAGTGTTATATTTAAACTGTGAAAAATCAAATGAGAAAAAAGAAATTCGGAATATAATTTATTTGCTTACGTACGTTGTTCTCCGCCAAGCAACTCAACCGCCGCCAAGAATCGGCGGTGAAGATCAGCACTCCAGCGGAGACGGCGAGCGTTTGACCTTACGTACGGTCTGAACATGGTGTTGCCGCCAGAGCTGCAGTCGTTTTTCGGCAGCTTCACAGGCGGCGGTGGGGGTGGCCTAACACCCACCGCCGCTACCGGCATGTGACTTGAAGCATCTCTGGCGGCAGCCGATGATGATGTGGGTAGGGGATGATGATTCTTCCTCATTGTGAATCAAATTTCGTATTTAGTCAAGAATTAAGGTCAGATACCGCTCCTTAATTAGCTAACTTAGCTTGCTGTAATAAATAAGCTCTAATTCGAATC